GATGCCTTTTTTACGTTGACTTGTACACTTACAAAATATTTAAACAACAATGTAAAAGGGTTACATAAATATCTCCTAGGAGTTTTTACTTTGATTGTTTTCAGTCCCACACCAAATATAAACAGACCAGATCAGACTTAAGCATACCAAACCATACCAGACTTCCATACTTAATGATAAAATACATAGAGACCAAACATTTACCAAACAAGACAAGACCAGTTCGGACCAGATCAAAAAAAATTTGTCCAATTAAAAACATCCATAGTCTTCAAAACTCCGCATTCCTCGGTCGGTAGTCGCTACTTCCTTCATGAAGTGGCGGGGCGTCGCTATGTTTAGATTTTGAGTTCGCCGGCGGGTCTTCAGTAATTAGCGGAAACACACGAGCATCTCATAAAATTGCACGTTCAACCTCATTCTATAAGTAGTCATTAAAAGAATAAAGTGAGATTTATTATGATGAATAAATGGATCTGATGTGATATATTTTTTTAATAAATGTCGCAAATCAGCTTTAATCTATAAATTATCTCTCAGGAAAGTCATTTGCACTATATCACTGAGTTGGAGAATTTTGTTGTATATTTTTTTAATTTAAGGGGTAGTTTGCACTATATCGCCGAGTTGGAGGTCTTGGTTGCATGTTTTGTAGTTTAGGAGGTGATTTGTACAATCTGTGTTAGTTTGAGGACTGATTTGATACTTTTCCCAAAATATTTTCATGTTTAAACTCTGTTAGTGCCAAAACATGGCATCTATTACTCCTATTTAGAAATTTAAATAAAGTAATCCTGTTTCAAAATTTGTAATATTTTTATTCATATGTAGGGTAATTTGTAGGGGTGAGTATATTAATATTAGTTTTATTTAACTGAACCGTACCAAACTGAACTAAATCGAACTGTATGCAATTTGATTTGAGTTTGGTAGTATTTCTTCCAAACCGTATTAAATCGGATCGGACCGAAATCGATAAAAAACTGAACAAAATCGAAACAAAGTAAAGAAATTCAATAAAACATTCATATATTATTAAAAAAACCTTCATATATGAAGTAAAAAATAACAAATCCAAACCGAACCAAACTGAACTAAATCGAATCAAACTAAACCAAAAATAATGTGGTTTATGTTTGGGAATAATTCTTTAACCCGTTCCGGACCGAATCGAATCAAAACCGATAAAAATCGAACTAAAAATCAATATATCCGCCCCTATATTAACTACTGATTTGAAACATCTTCAATAAATATGATTACTTTGTTCTAAATAAATGCTTGTTGTGGTCAACAACTTCAAACTAGCGGGGAACATTTCCAAACATTTCAAGCCGCGGTATTTGACTATATGGTAAATTACGCGGAATATAACAAATAGCTTAATACTAATAATAATTACTACTGTTGTTAGGCATCCGACGGCAAGTCAAGAGACCTAAAGAAGTACGTAGTACTTTTTAAACAAGAAAGTAGTGTACCTAATTATAAGTTTACTTGTATGGCATTCATACTTAAATATGAGTAAAAAATGTTGAGAATTTAAAAAGGGGGTCTTAAGTTTTATTGCCCATATAGGGTAAGTCTTGTCCAACTTTAAATACATTGCCAATATGACAATATGTTGTCATGTTTCAAATTTGATAGTAATAATGTGCTCTTTTTCAAAAAAAAAAAAGATAAGCCTCATTAATTGTACTTCTCAACAGAAATTGCCCTAAATAAGAGTAAAAACACTTAGAAATTCCAAAATAGGAATATCATGTTTTTTATTCCTTAAATAGGAGTAATCTGTCAAGTTTAGAAAAAATGTCATGTTTAAAGTCTAGTAATGTCAAACTTGGCATAAATTTACTCCTATTCAGGGAATAAAATACATGATATTCCTATTTTGAAATTTCAAAACATTTTTACTCCTATTTAGGAAATTCTCTCAATTCTCAAATGTTTTTCCTCCTATTTTGATATTTTCCCCACAAAAATATATTCTAGTACGTACTAACTCCGTCCCAATTTACTTAGCCAAACTTGACTTTTCAAGTCAACGACCTCTAACTTTGACCAATTATTTAAGCTAATATATTTATGCAAAATTTCATGTAACTCGTGCATAAAAGTATGTAACTCGTGTATAACAAGATGTAACTCACACATAACAAGATGTAACTCACACATAATTACATGTAACTCTCGCATAAAAGTATGTAACTCGTGTATAACAAGATGTAACTCACACATAACAAGATATAACTCACACATAATAACTTGTAACTGGAGTATAAGATGATGTAACTTCGTATATTATCAAATGTAACTCCAAGCTAGAAGCAAAATAAACAAACTCAATATCTTAAAAACCTCTAAAACATATAAAAGTGATAAAAAAACATATTATAGAAAAAGTGTATGCATATAAAAATATATTACAAAAAAATGGATGAATGTAAAAAATTAAAATTACATAGGCAATATTGATCTCATTTGAAAGATCATGAAAAATAAAAAATTTTGGTAAAAATTTTATAAAAATCGGATCAAAAATAAAAAAATTATTAACAATTTTAAGAAAATGAGATATACCAAATAACAAAGGGTGCATGGTGCTCACCATGCACCGATACCACGGTATAAGCACTAGTAGATAATAAGATAGTTGGTTAAATTATTGATGTAATACTTATCTCTTTTAGAACTAGACTAAAATTGAAAAGTCATTTGAGATCATCAACAACCCAATAATTACTAAATATTGTCTCCATTTTCTTTTAAGTGCAACATTTCATTTTTCAGTGCTTTGAAGATGAATTGGTAGATACGAGTGAAGGAACTCGTTTGATCACTCTGCCCAAAGCATTGTCTTTGATTGCTAAGTGCAAGGCGCGGCCTTTTGTCACCAACCTTCTTTCCACCTATTCAACAACATTATTTTTTGTATTTTTTGTTGTAGTGTATACATTATTTTCATTTATTATTACTCATTTACCGTTGTTAAATCACACTATCAACTCGAACTAGGATCTGGTAGAGTTGCCCCGTTATAGTGTTACTGCTGATAATGTTCCCAATCAATTAAGTAAATTATCCCAATTAATTTATTATACTTGCACCAGACATGTTTTTCACTTGAATTGAAACTTTTTGATCTGATATAACTTAGTCTAGTTTGATGACTTTGGTTTGTTAAGTCTGCCGGACTGCACTAGTCTGATATGCTAAATATCTTTTTATGTGTATTTACTATTTACTATTGACCGAATCTGTTAAATAATACGAAGTATGGTTTATATTTGGTAATAATTCTTTCAAACCGTTCTGAATCGAATCGAATCGAAACCGATAAAAACATAACCAAAAATCAATATGCCCACCCCTATATTAACTACTACGTACTAATTTGAAACATCTTCCATAAATATGATTACTTTGTTATAGATAAATGGTTGTTGTGGTCAACAACTTCAAAGTAACGGGGAACATTTCCAAACATTTCAAGTCCCGGTATTTGACTATATGGTAAATTACGCGGAACATAACCATTAGCTTAATAATAATTACTACTATTGTTAGGCATCCACGACAAGTCAAGAAACCTAAATAAGTACTTTTTACACATGAAAGTAGTGTACCTAATTATAAGTTTTCTTGTATGACAACCATACTTAAATATGTGTAAAAATGTTGAGACTTAAAAAACTGGGGTCTTATGTTTTATTGCCCATATGTGGTAAGTATTGTCAAACTTCAAGTACATTGCCAATTATGACAATATGTTGTCATGCTTAAAATTTGATGATACCAAAACATGACAATAAATTTTTAAGATAGTAATAATGTGCTCTTTTTCAAAAAAAAAAAGATAACCGTCATATTTTAAAATTCTCAAACTTTTTCTCTCCAATTTTGAAAATTTACCCACAAAATATTAAGTACTTTTATAGGTAATTACTGTTTAAACTATATACTTGTGCGTAGTATATAATGATACTCCCTCCGTTTCTGAATCAAGTTCCACATTTGACTTCACACATATTAAGAAAATAAATTTGACTTTATTGTGGAGTGCACTGTTTGGCACTGTTTGAACACTGTTTGACACTGTTTAACACTGTTTTTATGTAGATAATTTGCCAAATAAGGAAATGCTTGAAAGTGGAACTTAATTTTGAATCTATCCGAAAAGAAAAGGTGAAACTTCTTTTCAAATCGGAGGGAGTACAAAATAAATAAATTTGCAGATTGGGACCGAAACTGCCACCGATTTTGGAAGTTATATTGTGCACCTTTGCGGTTCCAATTTCGGTTCTGGTTTGAACCACAGATAGGTTTACACGTAGTCATGTCAAAGTCCCTAGCATAATTGATTGGAATTTATTTTCTTGGTTTACGTGTGCGGTAGTACTATCTATTTGATTGGAATTGAAAAACAAATTCTTTTATATAAAAAAAAGGATGACACCCTATCCTTGAGGGCCCCCCAACCTCGACCGGACAGTACGTTGGGAGGATGTAAGTTGGACTATAATCTCAATCTGACAGATAGAGAGTGGGGCTCTGTCCCCGGTACTTGCAGACAAATTCTTTTATGAAACTATACTAAGTTCCCATTTTAACTTCCAAACGAGTTTCGCATAAAATATAAGTTAATTTATATTGTGTTGTGGAGAGTTGTGGAGAGGAGAGAGAAATGTGTAAGAAATGTTGTGAACCACAAATTTTTTACCAAAAAGGGAAAGTGGAAGTTTTAATTGGAACGAACGAAAAAGGAAAATTGGAAGTTTATTTAGGAACGAAGGAAGTAGTAAGTACGATTATATAGAAAACATCCCCATAGTGCTTAACTACTGCTGTTTCGTGTCCCAGCCTACGCCTAAAGTCCAACGCCACAAGATGACATCATTGCTTACATTTTTTTCCTTATGAAATATTGGCTCTGCTCCAAGTATAAATTCCCTTATTTACCTCCCAAATTATACCCAGGCACTGTCGATTACGAGTAAATTTTCAGCCACTGTAAAATCTTTCTTGAATTCATGGATTACACAGCCATCAGCCCATTTCTATTCTACCCTCCTCTCCTCTTCCTTCTCTATCTAATCTCTAAACAATTCCACCGGAAATTAAAGAACTACCCGCCGGCCCCGTTCCTCACCCTCCCCGTCGTCGGCCATCTCTACCTTTTTAAGAAGCCTCTCCACAAAACCTTATCCAACATTTCCAAGCAATATGGACCGGTCGTCCTGCTAGAGTTCGGCTCCCGGAAAGTCCTCTCCGTCTCCTCTCCCTCCGCGGTGGAAGAATGTCTGTCGAGGAACGACGTCGTTTTCGCGAATCGCCCTCGTTTCCTGGCTGGAAAGCATATAGGGTACAACCACACCTCCCTAGTCTGGGCCTCCTACGGCGACCATTGGCGGAATCTCCGCAAAATCGCCGCCACCGAAATCCTGTCCAACAATCGCCTCCAGACCCTCCACGAAATTCGCGCCGATGAGGTGAAATCAATGATTCGGAAGCTGGATTCGTCTTCCAAAGCGGATTCTCCAGTTGACATGAAGACTGTGTTTTTCGAGCTGATGTTGAACCTGATGATGAGGATGATCGCCGGAAAACGTTACTACGGCGACGACAAGGAAGTGGATGTGAAGGAGGCGGCTCGATTCAGGGAGATCGTTAGGGAGGTTTTCCTCCTCAGTGGGGCCACCAACATCGGAGATTACGTGCCTTCTTTGAGTAGATTGTCCGTCAAATTGGAGGAGAGTTTGCGACAGTTACAAGTCAATAGAGATGATTACTTGCAGGGTCTGATTAGGGAGTGCCGAGAAAGGATGGTCAACGACGGCGTTGACGGGGGCGGTGAGGCGGCAGGGAAAAGGAAATCATTTGTGGATGTACTGTTGACCCGGCAATCAAAGGAACCCGAATATTACAAAGATGAAATTATCAGAGGCCTCATGGGGGTAATTCTTTCAGTAGTTTATTTTGAAGGTGAAGTAATTAGGTAATTGAAACTTAAATAAATGAGGAGAATAACTGAATTGATTACAGGTAAATTTAGGTAGTCTGTCTTTATTAATTTAAACACAAACTAATGATAAAATAATGATTTCAATCAATCAATGAATATTAGGTATAGAGTTTTCTTGAGGACCATGGTGATTATATGCATTAAGGTATGCTGATCACTTATTAGGGGATGACATTCAACTGTGTATTAATGAATCTAATACTCCGTACATTAATATTCTGTCCCGGTGACTTCGATATTAATTTTATTAGAAATTACCCTAAATATGAGTAAAAAAAATTTTTGAAAATCCAAAATAGAACTTTCATGTTTTTACTCTAAATAGGAGTAATTCTGTCAAGTTTGAAAAATAATGTCATGTTTAATGCCTAGTAATGCCAAATTTGGCAGAAATTTACTTCTATTCAAAAAATAAAAAACATGATTGTCCTATTTTGGAATTTTAAATTTTTTTACTCCTATTTAGAGAATTTTCTCTAATTTTATCAACTCATTGCTATTAATTCGATGATCCCTATAGGACGCGGTCAGCGAGAATTAATTATTGGAGACAAATAAACTGGTAAAACAACAGTAGCTACCTAATTTTGCCGAGGGAATAACCTGTTTTCACCTTGAATTGGTTAAAATATGCCGATTTTCTTTTGATTTCAATTTAACATATTGCTTTTACATCCTATTCTTTCAACCAAATACATTTTATAAAATCGTTTAATAGTCCACCTAAACTTAGAAAAGTCTATTAGAAAATGGCGTGCAAACTCTTGGTCCTTAAAAACAGGAGTAGTTTTTACATTAAATAAACTTTATCATCTGTATATTTGGTAAAACGGCCATATTTTGCCAAAGAATTTGAGAGAGATAAAGTATATATGCTACCAAATAATTATATTTTCTATACTAACAAAATTTATAAATGCTACTTCTTATATAGTCTAATAGGCGGTTAATTGAAGTTGTACCTAGTGGAAAAACGTCAATTAGAGGCGCTTCGTTTGAGGCGCTTTTTAGCACAAGCGCCTCTGTTAAAGTTACTAAAAAAGCTTTCTTTAATTATTTTCTTTTAATTCAAATACTTCATGAGAATGAAGTATTCAGTCAACTTCAATAGTTTCGACAAATGCAGTCACTTTAATGATTTCAAGTTTTAACTACTCGTAGTCAATCTAACCGCACCCTATTTATGCTTATTTAAAGGTAAGATGATGTCGGAGATACTTATTTAAGAAGAATCAATATCAACCAAATACTTCTGAGTTCTTATTTTATTTTATTTTTTGTTTTTTTTTGTGATGGAAACCCAATATGAGGTAAACAGAATAAGGGACTACTCTCTGTTGAGTGAGAGAATTGTTCAAGAGACATCTCACATCAAATAAAAATGAATTACTAACCTACACTAACAGGAGAAATGTTTGTATTACACTACAGGTTATCTTAGCAGCAGGAACTGACACATCAGTTGCAACAATGGAGTGGACACTCTCACTTCTTCTAAACCACCAACAAGTCCTAAAGAAGGCGCAAGAAGAAATCGATGACAAGGTGGGATATGAGAGACTAGTTGAAGAATCAGATATGGCTGAACTCCCCTATTTGAATTGCATAATGAAAGAAGCAATGAGAATGTACCCTGCTGGCCCTTTGGCAGTCGCACACGAGTCCTCAGAGGAGTGCACTGTTGTAGGCTATCGCATCCCGAAAGGGACAATGCTATTGCTAAACTTGTATTCCATCCAGAGGGACCCCAAGTACTGGGTTGAGCCGGAAAGGTTCAATCCAGAAAGATTCAAAGGCTTAGAAGCAGTTATAAGTGCTAAAGATCATGGGTATAAATGGATGCCTTTCGGGTATGGTAGGAGAGGCTGTCCGGGAGAAACACTGGCATGGCACGTTGTTGGGTTGTCATTAGCATCGATTATCCAATGCTTTGATTGGGAAACACTTGAAAGTGAATTGATAGATATGAGTGAAGGAACTGGTTTGACTATGCCCAAAGCAACGCCTTTGGTGGCTAGATGCAAGACGCGACCTTTTGTAGCCAACCTTCTTTCTACCTATTCAACATGAGTTTCATATGTTTTTCTTTGTTGTGTAAACATGATTTTCATTTGATATTGTTTTCATGTACAATTGCTAAATCGCACATCATCGAATCGGATTGGAGTCTGGTGTAGTTACCCCACTGTGGTGTAACTACTTGCTTGGCCAGATGAAATCTAATTATTAATTTTATTTTGGAAAAAAAGTCAAATAAGCCCGTGTACTATTGTAAAAAAATCATCTAAACCCTTACTATTGTGAAAGGATCACATGGATACACTTACTACTAAAAAATCAACCGAATTGGTCCTCTGACAGGAAGCTAACCTGCTATCACAGGTTAGACACTCTTTCTTCTTCTTCTTCAATTCTATTATCTCAATTCCTAACATTTTTTTTGTTTTTTTTTCTTATTTTCCCTTATTTCCTTTTCTATTTGTTGTCCTCCCGTGTGAAACTATTGTTTTGACATTTTCTTTTTAATTATTTCAATAAAATATCATCTATAACTCAATAATATGCTCATTCTTTTAAAAAAATTAAGATGTGAAATATTACTAAATATTCTTTTATTTTTGAAGAAATTTCACTTTCAATTTTTTAGTTATTGCTCACATTGAAAAATGTAGTCCTCGCGAGTGGCGGAGCCTGAAAAACACGTGAGGGGGATCAAAATTTAATTATATACGGTGTCAAAGCGGTGGATCATATCATTATTAAACAATACTTGATCGGGTTAAATGTTTCATATGTAGCTGAGATAACTGGTAATTTAATAAGATATATTTAGTTATTGTATTGATATATATATATATATATATATATATATATATATATATATATATATGTCATGCATTATAAACTTCACAGTTCACACAACTAATGTACGAATAAGGTGTTTCATTTTTAAATTTAAAAATATAATCAAATTTTGTTCATTTCAAGTTAATCATTTTTTCAGGAGTAAAGTTAAGCTACAGACAAAAATGTCAGAAAGAAGAAATCTACTTTTACAAAAAATAAATGTCTGGAACGGAAAGAAATGTTCTAGACATGGTAAAAATTGTATATTTTCTGATAAACCCAGTATGCTAACAATCACACAATCATAGCAGATAAGAAGAAGCAGATAGAAAGATATTAGATGAAAACCAAATCTGGTATACCGTGATGAACGCCGCTGCTCTCCCTCAAGAGAGAGAGAGCAGCGGAAAACCTAATCTCTCTATCTCTGCGCCTCTATTCTCTAAAGCCTCAATCGTTAGGGTTCCCGTAAGTTAGCCTCCTTTTATAGGAGAAGTTGGCTAACTTATGGGTTACAAAGTCGCTAACGGGTTGATACACATTTGTGGCCCGTATTACACGTTTAATTAATAACTACACAAATACAAAGATATTTAATTAGATTGGACACCATAAAATATTCCTAACAATCTCTCCCTTGGTGTTCAATCGTGTTGAATCAACATTGCAACACGGATATCTTTGTCTTTATTGTTATTGAGCTTCCTTTGTCTTTGAACTTGACTTCTTGAGAAGGCTTTATGAAGAAATCCTCGCAATCTCCCCTTTGATGTTTTCTTGGCAGTTTGATCTTTGATGTCGGGGTTTGAGGAATCTTTTTCTTGTAATCCTTGTGATGGATAGTCTACCCGGGGGTATGTATCCGAAGGGTTACTGCGGGGAGTAACTAGAGAGAAGTCAGAGCAAGCAAGAGAGAGAAAGTGTATTGAATATATGAGTGAGAAGTGTTTTCCGAATCTGGTTTACAAAGGGGGAATGGGGTGCTATTTATAGTAGCAATAAATGCGAGAAGGGGACACGTGTCATGCATCCAACGGCCGAGGGGTCACATCAACCGGGTGTCACTGGCGTTCACATGTGGCCGCATTTAATGCGGCGGTTGGATGTGACGTTGTACTTGGTACAGCGACCCAGGCGCATGTGGAGAGGATATTCTTGTCGGGGAAGGTACCCTCGGTCGTAGGTGATTAGCCGAGGGCTCTTCCTGTCGAAGGCCCCTTGAGGCCGAGGGCTCCAGGTGCCGAGGGCTACTGTTTTCTGCCGTTTTTCTCCCAGTAACTCTGTATGCTGAAAGGGGCAATGTGTATTGTTGACTGCTTGGTACTCGGAGCGCTGTGATTTGGGCCTGTTGTGCTTCCTGGGCATATTGGGCCTTGGTTTAGAGCAGTAGGAGTCTATGGGCCGGGGGTCCCTGGGCCATATACTCCATCACGAGTCCCTCACTCCTTTTGCCGAAAGGTACTTGAGGGAAAAGGAGTAATTGTGTTTGTCCTCTGCCGTTGTTCCGTTGTAGTTTGTAAAGTTTGTGAGTAGTTCGTTGTGTGCATGTTTCAGCCGAGGGCAGTCCCTCAGTTACCCACATTCCGGGACTTGAGGGAGTTTTTGATATTTTGTGTATTTTGAGATTTTTCCCGAAGGGGTTCTCCAGTCCCTCACTCCTTGAGGCACTTGTAAAGTGGTGAAAAGGAGTAGTGTAGTGCTTGCCCGCAATATGGAGCCGAGGGGTGACACTTTTCGTTTCATTTTGGGGGGATGCCTCGTTAAAAACCTCAATGGAAAAAAGCCTGTGGGGAAAAAATTCGAATGAGGGAAAAAGAGTGCACCGAATTCCCCCAATGATGAGTCGAGAAGGTGAAACCCTGGTCTGAAATGTGCGGCAGTATTATTGCCGAAGGCTATCCTTGTCTGGGAGATACTGAAGGGGAGCCCTCAATTCATGAGAGTGAGGGCGCGATGAACGTAGGTGATATTTCTTGTGTTGTGAGGGGTCCCTTGTTTGTTGACAAGTTGGGGGCTGTGGTGCCCCGAGGGGTTTCCTTGTTACGTAGCCGGGGGCAATTGTTGATGAAGGTGTGTTCCCCGGGGGTTACGTGGTCCTCAATGTGTTTGAGGGCTGAGTGTTCCCGAGGGGTGTGCCCGTTGTGTAGCCGTGGGCTTTTGAAGGAGTGAGCCCGAAGGCACTTGTGATGTAGTATGAGGGGCACAGGCCGGGAGCACCTCTGGATAAGTATACCCGGGGGCTCCCCTTGATGAAGTGGAGTGAAGGAGAAACCCCGGGGGCTAGTTTTTTGATTGATGAAGGAGTGGTCTGCTGAGGGCGTGCCCCTGGGTTCCCTGAATAAAGCCGTTATAACATGACCGTTGGAGGGGGAGGACACGTGGCACGTGGCCGTTGGCTGCCCGCGGGTGGGCGTCACTGATTGGGCGAAACGACGGTAAGTAATGATGATTTTGTAACCGGAGGCCCGGTTTTCGGGCCCAAGCCCGGATCTGGGCGCCTATAAATACCCCAAGGCCAGGCCATTTCCCCCTTACGCATCCTTGTTGCAACGAAGTGCTGGCAAAAATTTTCTAGAGAGAGAGAATTCCCTTCGGTCAAACCAAGTGCTCAAGGTCAGTTCTTCCCCCGGTTCTTCTTCAGCTGCATACTTAGTCTTTCCTGCCTTAGGTTAAGTGCTAGGGTTGGTTAGGAAGCCTTCGTCCTTTACCCTTCGACCTCTAGTTTCGAGAATGTCTTCTGGAACATACTCTGACGTTGAGCCTTCGAGCGAGGAGTCTTCGGCGGGTGATGATGCTGTTGTGGCCATGGAGGTGGAGAAGGACCTCAGGGCCGAGGTCGAAGCCGAGGACTTTGAACAAGTAAACGAGGACGAAGAGATGGCCCTCGCCGTCCAAGTAGCTGAGCAGGAGGAGCAAAAAGAGAGGATGAAGGTAACCGTTGCTGTTCTTCCCCCTCGCGATGCAGGCGAAGCCAGCACCTCTCGACCCTTGAACCCGACGCCTATTAGTGTGGCTCCCGGGAAAAAGAAGAAGACGAGGGCTGCTCCGAAGAAGAAACAAGCAGCCGTGGACGCCGGGCGACCAGTAGGTATAGTCGAGGGCCACTCCTTCCTGAACACCGCCGCCCTAGAGTTGAAGACGAGGGCGTCCCCGGCAGAGAACCAGGCCATTCAAATTCTGGTTGGCCCTTCGGCACGTGTGGTGGAGCCAGGGGCCGATGATCTGTTACGATACGCACCCGAGGGCTGCTTCGCTGTTCATACCCTGTCAGTGGAGATGGGGCTTCGCTTTCCGCTCCACCCCTTTCTGCTAGAGTATCTGAGGTTCATGGGGCTGGCCCCCTGTCAGCTAACGCCCAACAGCCATTCTTATGTGGCCGGCTATCTCTCCTTGTGCCGGAGCTGAGGGGTTCCACCTACCCTCGACCATTTCTTCATGTCTTTCAACTTGTGCGGGGGGGGGGGGGGGGGGCATTCGAACGTTGAGGGCTTTGCCAACCTGCAGAAGGTACCGGAGTTCAGGCTTTTCGATGATGTGCCTTCGTCCCACAAGGGATGGAAGGATAGGTACTGTTACATACGCCTGGAGGAGAACCCCTTTCCAGCTCCGCTCCGCAAAAGCTTTCGGCGTCATCCGAAGGTAGGGAATGCGGCCCTGGAGAAGAACGGCAGGATACTCGCCAAGAAACCGGAGGGGTCCAACAAGCATGTGAAAATCAAAGACGTTACTCTCCCGGACGAACTGTTCAAGCTAGGCTTCCGGCAGTATCGGCTGAGGGGCTCGTCGGATGAAAGATACCCTCCGATAGATCGCGTATTCGAGGGAGCCGGAGGTGATTATCGAAGGGTTATGCGTTTTGTACTTAGAGAATTTTTCTTCGTTTTGTTTTTGTTCAATCCACGTCATTGTAATTGATACCCTTCGGCCTAATCATTTTGTGTCTTATCTTTGCAGGTAATAATATGGGCGTGAGCTCTCTCTTCGCCCTGAAGAACGCCAACGGGAAGAAGAAGGGTCCAGTGGGCGCTTCCGCCAGGGAGGAGTCCTCCCAAGCTGCTGCTGCCGGTGCTGGTGTCGAGGGCTCCAAAGGTGCTGGGGCCATGAAGAAAAAGAACTGTGGTAAGGGGCACGCCTCCGCCCCTACCCCTCAGGAGCACATCAACCAAGACTTCTTCGGTCGGGAGAAGTTGGAGGCGATACTGCCGAAGGGGGCATCCGTGCTGGAGGGTAGCCTCAACCCGTCGGCGCTGATGAGCCAGATGCTGCCCTCGGCGGATCGGCTTACCCTCACTAGGATGGACGAGGACTCCCTTGAGGCCAAGATTCTGCTGAGCAGTGCCTCCGTGAGTCACGCTTTTCCTTTTCCTTTGTATTCACTTTTGTTCTTATGTATTGTGTTCACCATGTCTAACCGTTATCCTTCATGGGCCTCTATGAGTATCTCCGAAGGGTGGAGCAGATGAAGGGGGCGAAGGGTGCTGCTGAAGGGGAAGCTGCCAGCCT